AACATGCTGAGACTCTCTCAGGTGTTACTTTTTTGTTGGGAGGGCGCGTGGGAGTGAGCGAAACTGCTTGCGGGCGAAGGGGGTGCCTCGAACCACCCCTACCCCAATCCCCAGCCAGGACCCCCACTCCCGACCTGGTGATCCAGGGTGTTTGGGGGCGTTCCTGGGGGCCAGCAAACAATACCCTCACTCCCAAGGGTGGGGTGTGCGGGGGGGGGGGGGGTCCTCGACCATCCTTCTCCTCCACCCCCTTCCCCTGCTGCGCCCCGTCACCACTTCTCCTTCTGGAGCGGGAGGCTCTCCTGCTTGATGGCGACGGTCCCCTGTTTCCACAAGCCCACGTCCGCTGGCCCCGCGGAAGGCAGGGGAAGCAACATCCAGCATGCGGGCAGAAAGACCCTCTGGTAGAGTCGCATATATCGTCCTTCTCCCTTCCAACCCTAATCCCCCTCCCTCCACTTCCTCAACAACCTCCTCCCCCTTCTCCTCCGGCTACGGCCTCAAGATGCGCCTGTCTGAGTGGCAGAAAATGGATACCGTTAGTCCGCGGCAGTCAAGACCTTTGCAGGTCTGGAAGCTTTTTTCACTTCACTGCACACCTCCATTTCGCTCCGCCCTTTTTCCCCTGTCTCTCGCGCCATGTCCTGGCGCACTAAGGTCCCATGGCGCGGCGGCCCCAGCTAGGGCAGGGCGCGGCAAAGACCACGTGACTAGACCAGCTCGCCGAACGACGTGTGCATATCGTGCGGGCAATGGGGGGTACCAATCTTATTGGAAATGGTGCTGTTCGAAATACGGAGGTACGCCAACGGATTCAAGAGATGAAAATGCCAAACACAGTGCCGATGTGCCGGGTGCGCTACGTGCTGCAATCCACGCCGTTCTTGCCGCCCGACCCGAACTTCAAGAACATCTTGGAGGACTGGCGGCAGCGCCCAAAGAAATCGACTAGACAGACGCTAGCCGCCAAGGTGTCGGATGAAACAAGTCGTGAGCGTACCAGGATCACCAGAAGAGTGGAGAATGCGGAGGAGGCTGTTCGGCTCGCGTCACAGGAGGTCCACCACCGCAAGAATCGCGAGCAGAAGTTCGAGAGCCAGTTGGCCGAGGCGCGCATCCCGCCCCAGGAAGATGAAACTGAGGCTCGTGATGCCAACCAGAAGAAGAACGAAGCTGATGCAGCAGTTGCAACATTCGACCAACATCCTCGTCGTTTCCGGTTCGGGGCCCCACGACCCGATGTCCGCATTGAGGAAACAGCAACCCCTTGGGTCTACTCAGGTTTGGAAAGGCTGAGATGATATGAAACATGCGAGTTACGAATCGGTGGGTTGGTAAGTATAAAGGGGTTCGCAGTATCCCTAGGCACAGGGTGTGGTGCAGGGCGCGCGGCCCTGTGTCAGGCACACGGCGCTGCTCGAGGTAGTGTGGCAGCCGACCACCCCTGCCAGCTGGCGCACAACAGATGGCCAGCACCTTTGCCCTGGTGGTCGAGATTTGTCTGTTCAAGTGTCGTGAGCTGAGAAGGACGCCCGACGCAAGCTCATTTGGAGCCAGGCTGCTAAACGCTATCATGTACTGACCGGTCGGAAGAAGTAGGTGGAACATGGAATTGGGGCTCACAATGTTTTTTATTTATTTATATCGAGAGAGAGATGACCAGGATTTCGAACAATCTTGACGTCGGGGGGCGAAAGGTTTTGAGGAATCGGGCTCCTGGAAGCTTGTGGGCCGACCAGAAGCTACATGACGAAGGATAGCATACCGCTGCGAAAGGTAAATGCCCCAAGCGCGGGGAATGCCTGGGGTCGACGTGCCATCGCTCCTGGGCTTGCTGTCAATGATCATATTCCCGACCCTGTCATGGCCCTGTCATATAGCGCACTGCTCGCCTTGCACCGCGTGCTGCTTGTGAAATGTAATGTCCTGCTTTGTAGCGTCGGGAGCTAATGCCTCTACATCGAGCTGTCGGCCATCTCCCTGAGGCCAACGGGATTGCGTGGTTCTGGGGGTCATATGAGGACCGCGCGGTCCACGAAAGGGGGGGATCGATGGGTCGGGAGGAGGTGAAGATAAGGATCCACGGCTAAGGCGGTGCGGCTGGGCGTGCGTCGGGCTCTGCGCGACGCTCGACAACGTTGACGGTGGCTTCGCGGGAACGCCAGGCGGAACCGAGCAGTCTTCCCCGAGAGCCGGGCTGCTGGCATTGGCTTTCTGTTCTGCAACCTGCGAGTCGGACAATATCTATGTTGCAGGAGGAAATCTCCTTACGCCCCCATGAAGCCATGAAGTCTGATATGCTGGACTTGCGGGTTCGACATTGGGACGTCTTGGGGAATAAGCAAGGCTCTGTGGACCCCAGATGGACTAAACGTCCCTCCCCTCCAAGGGGGACCGCGTCAGCGCCCTTCATTCTACCATTATCGAGCAACTCCTGAATGGAACTGCCTGTGCTGCCTGTGCTTGTGCGTGGGGGAGGGGGCGCCGTGTTGCCACCCCCGCCGAATTAGCTGCCATCACACACCTGCATGGAAAAAATTGGCACTGACGTGGCGAAACGACTTGTGAATTCAGCGGTCAATTTTTGCGGCCTCCTCCCGCGAGAGAGTGCGAAAGAGGATCGGGCACGAGCACGTGCGAGTGAGGAATTTGCGCACCAATGTCCAAATACGTTTGGAACGAAGGATAGCCGCCAGGCATGCGCCTGTGCAGCGTCGAACCGCGATGAAGTGTAGCATTTGTTCTGCCCGTTTACCGAAGCGGGGCGTACTGTTTTGTTTGGCCAGGCCCGTGTGTGGCCAGCAAAGTTTTGCGTGTTGCGCCTCCTCCTGAGGGTCGGGTGGCTGCCGTGGGACCTGGGACCGACGAACACGATCGGCTGGCCCACCCGCTGGCCGCAAAATGCCTGGATACTCATGCAAAGGCGATTCTCAATGACGTGCTCTTTCGTCTGTGCTGCGGGTGCTCCGCCGTGAGCAGCATCAGAAGGCTCCACGAGCCCTGCCAGCATCCCACTGGAAAAGGGGCTCAAGGCTTTGAATCGTCGCGGGCGGGGGCTCCCGTCAAAGTCGAGAATGAATTTCCCCGGGCGATGGTGGTGAGGTGGCCAGGCTAACACCGGGGAGCCACGTTGCCACCATAGCGCCATAGCTCCTCCTCCTACTCCTCCTCCTCCTCCGACTTCCCCGAGTCCTCCTCCCCCTCCTCCGATGGCCTTCCCCACCTCCTCCTCCTCCTCCTCCTCCTCCTCCTCCTCCTCCTCCTCATTTCGCATCATCCTCCTCATCCTCCTTCATCGCCCTTGCTATCCTTACGCCTGACCCTGCCTCCAACTGCTCAGCCTCCTTCCTCCCTCCCCCCCCCCCCCGCGTGTTTACCATCCCTTCCTCCTCGGCTGTCGTCCTTGTCCTCATCCTCCTCCTCCTCCTCCTCCTCCTCCTCCTCCTCCTCCTCCTCCTCCTCCTCCTCCTCCTCTTTAGAACTCCTCCCCGTGGGAATCCCTCTTCTCTCCATTCATCCTACACAGACGAATTCCTCGACCTTTCTTCTCACTGCTGCGTACAATCTTCCGTCTCGTCCTCCGCCTACTCATCATCGTAATCAGCAGATCACGTCGTTCGTCTTCCTGTCCCCACCTCCGTCATCATGAATCCTCCGCTTACATTCCCTTTACATGGGGGATCCTTCCTCACCCTTCCTCTCCCTCCTCCGCCTCCTCCTCCTCCTCCCTCCCTCCTCCTCCCTTCCTCCTCCCCAGCACCCCTCCCGACAATTTGTCTCATCCACCCTCCATTAAATTGATCGAATTCCTCATGATGTTTCCTCTTTCTCTCCCTGCTCGTCCTTCCTCCTCCTCCCTCCTCCTCAAGGCCCTACTCCTTCTTCCACATTCTGGATGGTGGAGGCTTCCGGATCTAGAGTGAGGAAGGAAGGGGAAGAGGGTTGATGACGAGAAGGGAAAGAGGGAAAAAGAAGGGCGGATGGAATAGGACGAGGGAGGATAAGGGAAAGAAGGTAACAGGGCGAAGCGCAGCAATAAGCTGAACAAGGCAGAGACGGAAGCGCCATGTTCACACGACTCACTACTCCTCAAACGGCAGCTGCATCAGGCAACCGTCGCCCACGGGCACCTCAGAATGCAACCAAGACTCGTGGCAAAGATGAATGGCAAAGACTCCGAGACCCTGGACGTCCGCATGGTAACGGTTGCGGCGGCATCGGGCCGTCAACTCTGTGGTCTATGGCCATGGATTGGCCGAAGTGGCAGAGACTTAAGGAACAACCAACAAGCTGCATAACCATCAACTATTGGGGTCCGCGCGGATTTCTTGAGTCGACGCTGGGCGCCCCTCCCAGACTCGCGGAGCACGCCGGGGACGGCGCTGGAGGCGCCGGAGAGGCTCTACCAGGGAGGTCTAACGTTAATCCGAAACATCTGGTCGGAGCTCCGGAAATCCGTGTTCGTGTCGTTATTCCTTGTTCGAGTGAGGGCAGCCTTGACAGAGCACTGAGGCCAGCCTGCAGGCAGTGACTGCAACTTGGGCCATGAGGCTCCCCAACTCCGCGTGCGAGAGCTGCGGCGGTGCACTTGTGCTCCTCCTCCATCGCCCTCCTGCCCTCCCCATTCTCTGTTCCCCCTCCTCCTCCTCCTCTTACTCCTCGCCTCTCGCATCTTCCTCCCCCCGCATCCCTTCGATGCCTTCGATGCAGCGAGAGAGGGAAGGCCAGTGGCCAAACACTCTCGAGACAAGTGTCTTCCGCCTTCCTCGCCTCCTCTTCCTTCTCCTCCTCCTCTTCATTCTCCGCCTCATCTGCTTCATCTCTAAAGCTACTTCTCTTCCTAGTCGTCTGTCCCTGCTGCCATCTCTTTCCTCCTCCGCCTTGTCGTCTTGTCGCTGCTCACCCTTCTCTGGCCTCTCCGCGCCTACCTCCATCCATCGCTCACCGACGGCTGGTTAGGCGCAGCCCGTCTGGCTAGACCTCAGCAGTGGTGCCGTACCCTATGCAATTCTGGAGCTCAAGATCCTCGACGGGGAGGACTCGGAAGGAGGGAGAAGAAGGAAGGATGATTTAGAAGGGATGCAAGTGTCAGTAGAAGGGAGAAGGAGGAGAGAGGAGGGCGGATGGACAGAGAACCAATGGGTGCGGAGGAAGACGACAATGAGGATGACGAATGTAGAAGCCCAAATTCGCGGCACTACCCAAAGAAGAAGCGGACAAGCTCAACCGGCTCGAATTGAAGCTGACCAAGGGGAGCATTGCCAAGAGGCTCACCAGGCGCTACCACTAACATATACTGATCGACCACCGAGCCAGCTACATGAACCAGTGACACGACCACGACAGGAAACTGACGACGACCTTCAAATCATACGCGTGTTGGGCCCTGCCGCCTACACCGATGAGGACGTCAAACTGATGAGCCGACCATCAGATGAATGGGTGCACTACCCGGTCCGAGTGAAGATCGTGCACTTACCACGGAAGCGACCGAAGGCGACGAGTGGAGGTTCCTGATCATCAGCCTCGACGTCGCCAACAGCGAGCAGAAAGACAACCTGCACGACAAGGTGGTCCAAGTGTGGATCGCCGCCACGCATGGCGGCAAAATAGTGGGCAGATTCGAGGGCCGCCACAGCAGAGCCCTGGCGACCAACTGGGGCGCGGCTATGGGTCAGCCAGGACGGAGGTGCCCAACTAACCAGAGGAGAGCGCCCATCTATTATATATATATATATAGATCTATACATATATATATATATATATATGTATGCACGGACAATCGAAAGGCCATGGACATGCCCGCCTTGAGGCCGAAGGAGCAGGAACAAGTAGCCCTTGGCGGGGGGGCTTCTCACAAACACATTCATCCTCCTTGCGGCCACACAGGACAACATGGCACCAGGAGGGGAACACCCTGCTCCGAGTCAAGGCGATGAGCACATACAGGCTGAAGGTGCCAGATCAGCGCAAAGATTACGAAGAAAGCCACCATCCTATCCACTCACTGTGAACACGTGCCGAAGGTCATCCGAGCCGACATTGCGCTGGGGAGTTGGGCTTCGTTGGCTTCGTTGTAAACCTATGCGGTCGATCCTGCTCGTGGGCCGAATGGACTCCCTGAGAATGTGAACCTGATTGTTTCGAAGCACTCTGGGTACGGTTGACAAATTTGAGCCAGTGTAACAGAAGAGTCGGTCATCTTTCGTGGGCGCGGCGCGGTATGGATGAGCCGAAGAGGTACATAGGGGCGAGAATATGGCGGATACCTTGGGATGACGGTAAGAAGAATGCTTGCCAGCCTGGGTCCCGCACAATGCGGTAGTGCGCTGGAGAGGTGAAACTTATGTCGTGAACGCCGTATTGTGTGAACTTCAAGCGAACACACGCGAAACCTGTGCGGTGTAGACTGCGTGGCGCAACCTAGGTCGCATGAACGATGCGGTGTGAACTGGAGGTGAGAACGTGTAAACTCAATGATGTGCGCTCTGATGTTAGGCTCTGCGGTGAACAAAATGTGCAAACTATGTAGCGGAAGCTGAACCGTGTACGCTCACGAGGCGCCGACGAGGCGTCCTGGGCGGCAACGTGGCGCAACCTCGACGTACCCCTCCAGCGCGAGGCGCCCAGGAGGCGCGCACAAGGCGGCATGGGCGCACACACCTCCCGAGCGCGGGGCGCTCACGAGGCACCCGCGAGGCGGCAAGGGCGGCAACATGGCGCTACTTCGACATACCCAGCAAGCGCGGGGCGCCCGCGAGACGGCACGGGCGGCGACTTGGCGCAACCTCGACATACCCCCCAAGCGCTGGGCGCTGACGAGGCGCCCCCGAGGCACCAACGAGGCAACACAGCGGTGAGAACCCGAACAACTTGCTCCTGCCCGGGGTATTCGAGCAAACGGTTACGCATCACTTTTCCATGCGTCACGCTCATGTTGAAAAGCTTGAATGACAAACCAGACAACGACATAAATTACACCAATGCTGGTTTCACGCAATTGGTGCACACAAATGCATCGATATAAAGGTGTATAATCATATCTGTATATATAACTGGTTACAACTATATGTATCTGAATATATATATATATATATATATATATATTAACCATTTGCGGCTATCGCGTAAGCTGTGTTTAAATCCATGTAGGTCCCGCTCGCCCTAGCTGGCATACATGGGGCGAAGCAGGATTTCGCCATACCACTTGTAGGTCCCAACTGGGAAATTATCCGATGACAGAAACAAGTCTCTGGCTACAGTCCCCCAAGCAGAGCAGAACTGCATGAATAAACGACTGGTGGCCCCACATCCTTCCCTCATGACGAACGCGTTCACGGCACCAGATAACATATTCTTGAGGAATTTCCGACGCGCTGGATCAATCGGTCATTCTGGCTATGGAACATCTGGAGGCCGTCCTTCATAACACCGCGCTTGTTCACGAAACAATGCCACGTGCCCTCATCTGTCGGTCAGGCTCGTGCAGCCCAACGCCCCGCAATGAACAAACCTACGCTGATAATTCAAGCAGCCTTCCACAAATGCATCCTGTTGTATGGTCCGTACCTCTGACGATCCGACATGCTCACCGTTAGGGCTACGAAACCAACCGCCACCCTCTGCACTCACTGCGAGCGCCAGCCGAAGGCTATCCGAGCCTTAAACGACGGCGGGTCGCGCGACCATCGTGGAAGAATACAGGGCAGAGCTACTGACGGCAGCTGGATGACAGCACCAGCCAGGCAGTTCCGAAGTGCACCAGACACACCTCGGAGTTGCTAGCGCCAGCCCTCAAGGCGAGCGCAGTGGAGAAGTGGCCTGAGACCGGTGGGGCGCTCAACTGGGACGATGTCGAGCACTAGGACATGTACGCGCTGCTGGAACCGTACACGTCGTTCATTTCTGATCGTGGTCAGTTCAAAGTGTGCTCGTTTCTAATTGTTCCTGGGGCCCCCCAGTGGCCAGGAAGAGGCCCAGGACAGAAGCATTAGAAATGAAAGGATCTTGGCCCCCGAGAAATCCAAGAACCTTCGAAACATCAGAAACGAGCAGTGCGCACGCCATCTCAAGCGACGTCCCCCTCGGCTGCTGCCGCGTGCCCTGGAGACCCCTGGTCCGCACGGGCAGTGCCTGCGGGTGTCCTGGCCCGCCCTCGGTCCGTCTGGCCCCTGACCTGAGGCTCTTTGTTCGGGAGGTCTGCAGAAGGATTCGGCCGCGCATGCAGCAGTCGCCCAGCGTGCTCGTTCAAAACAGATCCGATGTACCCGCCAGTCCTGAAGGGGCCCTGGGACACACAAATGAATACACACAAATAACCCGATTCGCCATATTTTGCCACATTTTCCCAGGGATCGACAATTCATTGCGTGTGTGTGTTTTACCCCTCCTGAATGTAGCAGTCGCCCAGCGTGCTCGTTCAAAACAGATCCGATGTGCCCGCCAGTCCAGTCCAGGACGAGGAGGACGAGGAGGACGAGGACGAGAACGGGGATGAGGAGGGGAACTCCTCAAACTCTATGTGCGTGATGTCGTCCACCTCCAGCGACCTGTGGAGGGCGGGGCACTGGCCATGGGCGTTCTGAAGGTTATGCCCCCCCCCCTCCGGCTCACGATCTCACGGCTGCCTTCGTGCCCCCCTCTAGCTCTCCTTCGTTGCTGCTGCTGCCGCCGCCGCTGCTGCTGCTGCTGCTGTTGCTCCCCTCCTCCTCTTCCTCCTGCCTCGTTTTTCCCTCCTCCACAAATACAAAAGAGACCAACACAATGGTGAGGGATAGGAAGGTTGGTAAGTAGGATGCCAGATATGGCACGAGCGCGCATAACTTGACATTCCCTCTTCCGTCCCCAAAAATGTCACTTTGCACGCGTCGCCCTCCTTCCCTTCCCCTCAAAACCGCGCCTCCCTCCCTCCCCTGCCCAACTCCTCCGTGAACAAATGCACAATCTGAACACTACCCTCCTCTCCCTCGAAGACCCAGAGGTCGTCGCCTGCCCCCCTTCCGAGAGTTGTTCGTTGAACATAGGTTCCCCCAAAGGTGGTCGACGATTTGTTCTTCCACTCGAAACGTTTTGAATACTTCTAGAATGGCGCTCCCGCTACAGCGCTGGCACCATTTTATGGTTTTCGGTCCTTCATAATCGTACTCCCGCTGTAGCGCTGACCTCATGTCTTTGTTGCGGACATTATGAACAGTATTCCCGCTACAACGTTGGCTGTCGTTGTACGCTTGTGCTCTTTCCAGTCAGCCCGTCCCTTTCAATGTGTCGTCTTGCGTCATGCCTGGTTTCCTTCAGAAGCCGGTGTCAAAACGAGTCGCGCTTTCGACCAATGCTGGCTCTCATTTTGCGTATGCGGCCGCACCGTCTATTCAAATTTCCCGTATTGCGAAATGTCAGATTTCCCTCGTAACCTGCTGTCGAAACAGCTGTCGTGTTCTCGACCCAACGACGCTCTGCCGCGCTTTTCCACTCACGCCGTGGTACGCCGCGCACAACCTTGCATTTCGTACCCTCTCGAGACCATTGCCCTGCTCGGCACCCAACTGTGCGAATAGAAAAGAGATCTAACTGTGGTGAGGGACGGGACGGACGGATAGGAGTCAGTTGAGACGCTTGCGCACCCAGTTTGTCCCTTTTTTCTCTGCTTTCTCATCCCTTCACTCCTTCCCCTACCTCCCCTCCCCGCTCTCCCTTGCTGTCCCTCCTCCCCATCGAACCAAACCTTTCCATCCCCTTGTCCTCCCCTGCTCGGCCCTTACCATCCCGTTCCACTGCGCTCGCCGTCCCCTCGCCCATTCAACCCTTCCCCCCCCACGGCGCCGCTTCAGCCTCCGTCTCTGCCCTCCTTGACATCCGAGGGCATGATGCGTTCAATAACGTGGCTCCCCAAAAGTCTGGGTCGTTTCCACGAGACCGGCTTCTCGTCCTGGTGAATCGCTCTTTGATGGCCTTGGGACCAAAGGAAGCAACACATTCACGAAACCTTCTGTCGTGAGTTCTGCGCGACGCGAGGATGTCAGGGATGCCCGTCTGTCACTGATGCGAGGACGCGCTCGGGATCCATGCGCCTGAGCGCGTGGCCAGGTACTGGTTTCTTCAGAGAAACCAAGAGACAGAAAACTGCTTCTCACGTTGAAAAACCGAAGTGGCTGGGCACGGGCGAGCAGGGAAGGGGCAAAGGGAGCGCAGGGAGACCCACGCACCAGGGCCCATCAGGGCGAGAGGAGGACTGCGGACGAAATTGTCGTGGCCCTGAACCCGTTATCACCTCGCGGGCGAAACTCCCGTGCCTAGAACGCCGTCACGATCGAATGCCAGGAAAACGGGCTCGTCCCCTCCTCCTCCTCCTCCTCCACCTCTTCAGCCCCCTCTCCTCCTTCACCCCGTCGCCTCTGCCCTCTCTCCTCCTCGCATCCCACCTACTCCTCGGACCCCTTCGCCTGAGCTCTCCCAACGCTATCCACCTTCACGTGCTCCAGATAGGCCCTCCGACAGGCCCCGCGCGATCTACGCTTCAGAGAGAAACATTCAGGGCTCGCTCACCGACGCGACCTTCCACGTCAACTGGGCGCAGAGAACCTCTCGCTAGAATATCGCGCACGGCCGCAATGTCACGCGCCGGGTCCACTTTCGTTAGTGGACCGGCTGGCATCATCTGACGGGGCAACCAGCGCACCTGTGATCCGATGCAACATAAAGAGTCACGGATAAACGCTAGGTCGATCGCGTTGCGGCGATCCGCCCTAGAACCTGCGCTGCCACTGCACTCTTGGCGTCGACAATGCTCAACGCCGACGCCGCTTCGTCGAGCTCACAGCCCCCTGGAAACACTGCGGACAACGGCCCCAGGGAAACCGCCCAGTCCAGTCTGGACCCGAGACATCCCCGTGCAGAGCGTCACGCGGCATGCTCTGGAGCCAGTGAACCTCTGCTGCCGCGCTCGACAAAGAAAGGGCCACTGCGGCGATCGTGCCCGCCACCGCTCTCCCGAAGCGTTGCGACCTCGAAGCTGAGAGGCTCGCCCTGGTCCGCTTATCCTCTCTGATCGACCTGTCAGGAGCAGAGACAGGCCAGCCGCTCCGGGCCCCGCCTCGGCGCGCGCTCGGGAACCGAGGCGTGGAGACACTTGGCCACATCACTTGCCATGAGGTCGCCCACCACAGGCCCAGGGAGAGCCGCGGCCCAGAGAGTGGCCCCTCCCGAGATCTCTCGCCTGGATTCGCGCCCTAATCGCTGAATCTGGGCCGCGGTGGCGAGACGCGAAGACATCTCAGAGGACGAGGGGGGGGGTTGTCATTCTCGGCCCTCCAAGCCTAGCCCACGGAAGTCGTCGCCAGCTGTTCTCGCGCATGCATGTTTTTCCTGGTCAGACAAAATCATGCCCTCTGGCGTCAGCGCGCGTGTCGGCAGGCGCAATCGGCGCCCCGCCCCCCCCTCCCCCCGCGCGCCGCACTGAGGCCGATCGAACGACCGCTTCGCCAAATCTGGTAGCACCTCACCATCCCGAGACTCTGTGAGACCGCCCAGTTCGATTCAAATCAGCGCCTCGAGCACGCCGTGCACTGACCCCCTCCGCCACGCGCGCGGCTCCAGGATGGGGCGCCCACATCCGAGCTCACCCAAGTAGTCCGTCAAAACCCTAGTTAACTGCCGAAACAGGGGGGCGCCATTGAGCCCGCATGCCGGCGCGACCAACCTATGAGCTGTTCCCTGGACAGCCCTGGACCGGGACGCGGTCAACGACGATGGCCCCTAAAGGCCTCGCCATGCCCGGGGGCGCGATGCGCTGCAGAGCCAGCATAATAAAATCAAACTCACTGGCCGGGGCGTAGATCTGCAAAGTTTTCCACCAGGGCCCTGGTGGCCATGGGCGCGCCGCCTGCTTTTCGCGACCCACGCGCTACCGACCACCTCCGCTGGCGTAGTGCGGCGCGCCATCCGATGCGAGTAAACCCAATCGAGATGGCATCTTCGGGCCAACCTGGACACCTCAATGCAGTGCGCCCGCGCGCCTCCTGACTCCGCCGCGGCCGCCGTGGCCTGCCGTCCCTTAGCGCCCGAAGCTTCGAGAATGAGCTTGTCCTCCGAGGGCGGACTGCGCGGCTGCGCCTCGGCTCCCCGACGGGGAACGGGCTGAGCGGCAACCGTGGCCGCGCCTGAATGGCGGCGCTCGCGATCCAGGAACAGGCCCTTCAATCGGCGCCCGAGGGGCGCGAGAAGAGGATACCATTAGCCCCGGGCCAACAGCTCCTCGCAGAGCGAGCGATTCTGGCCGAGAACCTCTGGCGCACTGAGTTCCTCCCTCTCGAATAAGCCCCGCGCCATTCTACTGGACTCGTTCCACATCGCAGCGTTGGCATAAGTCCGCCGGCGTCCCTGCGCCGCGACTCCGACGGGGCCTCTACGGCCTGAGGTCCTGTTCCCGGCCTGGCAACGACATCCGACATCGCCTCGCCTTCTCGCCGTTGGCCGGGCTTCCAATGGCGAGGCCTCCAGAGGCGGGGGGCCCGTCGCGCGAGTTGCCGGGGGAACGCGCATCCGGCGAAGCAGGGGGTCCAGTCTCAGCGGCCGGGCCCTTGGGGATTGGCGCCCCTGAGCCTGGCGCACCCTCCAGGGCCGACCCCCGTCCAGGAACGACCCCCGCATAACCCCCCGCCGACCTGGAGGCCGCGCCCCTTGCTCGGGCCCCCCGGACTCGGCGGGGGCGCCCCGCGCTTCCAGGGGTGGGGGCCCCTCGGACTCGACGTCGACGGACCCCGCTCTCGCGCCGGGCCCGCGAAGCCCCCGCTGCAACTGGTCAAACCGAAGGTTGTCTAAGAGCCCCTCTTCTACCGCAACGGGCCCGGTCGCCGCCCTAACCTGCCCCGCCGAACGCTCCAGCCACCTGCGGCGCATCGCGACCCACGCCGTGCGTCGGGACTGGAATATCTCGGCACCTGGACATGTCCATCGATCGCGCCGCACCGCGTGCGTCTGATTAGAAGTGGTTATCTTTCGTCAGCCGTCGACCCATTCCCCCGGCTGGAAAATGCCGTCGACGCTGGCCCGAGAACGAGACGCCTCGGAGACTATATCTCGGGCGTCGCGAGCAGCGAGCGCACGCTGGGCATCCGATCTTCGCTTACGAGCGCGAGCAAACGCAGCGGCCGCCGCGCTTCGATGAGTGGCGGGGCCCCTGGGATTGTCCATCCCTATAGATCGCCCGCTGGCCCTTGAGATTCTCGGCCTTTCTCCAAGCGCCAACTGGTTTGCACTGCGCGCCCCTGGGTGAAGCGCGCAGTTCTTGCCGGAGACAGCCTCGCGGAACAGCACCTCGACCTCTTCTCGACAGGTCGGGGCGGCGGAGAGCGCGGCTCGAGACGTGGCCGTCTCAATGACCCCCCCCCCGCCGCGACGTTCGCATTCGCTATTATAGCGTGGCGAGTTCGCTGAAATGACCTGGAGATAAATGCCAGCGCGCTCGCGCCCCTCGAAAACGCTCCAACATGGGCCCCGCCGTCTGACGATATCATTTCTGGGGACCCGATCGGTCTCGGCTACTATTTCGCCA